TATATAGTATATTCACAAAGCTTATTCGAATAGACGGAAGTTTCCTTGAAGCCAGAGTCAGAAAGCAGATTAATTTCTCTTTTGAAAAACAAGATCTAAAACGTGTGTCAGACACACAAGAAAAGTATATGAAACTAATTTATTTTTTTAGTTAAGCAAATGGTTTATCTTGTTATTGATTTCTCTGCTGCAACTCATCCGAAATTAATCATCAAAAAGTCCTGGCAGCTCTCGAGGTGGTAAAGTTAATTTTGCACTCAAGTTGTTAGCATCACCCTACGATGCGGCCACACAGTTCACACAGTTGATAGATCCGATAGAGGACGATCTTTATTTCTTGAGGAAACAAAAAAAAGATAGGGGGGGGGGGATTTTCCCTCACATCTTGTCTTGAACACGACGAATACTCTAAAACCCCGATTCTCTTTTGCAGAATGAAGAACATCATAGATAATGTTCTATCAAGCTGTGACACATTACATCATTTTATGCTAATTCATAACGAGTCATTTAACTGTACTTAGAAACTGAGACGAAGTGAAACGAACAGTAACTTATTAAGCATGTCTCCATTAAAACAAAGGCAATAAATGCTTTCGGATAAAGGTAATATTATGAGCTATTATGATTATTCATTTTCATGATTCTTTTATACGCTAGCATTACACGGTGGGTGATCTTGGCCAACCAAAGCCTGAAAGGATGATGTGAGGCTGAAGAGACATTTTATTTATTCATATCATTCATGGTTGGGTTCGGTTTGTTTCAGTTTTTCTTCTCCTTTTTTTTTTCTTTTACTTATTCATTCTCTGTTTCGTTAAGCTTCGGTGGGAGGTGCAGTTTTCTATGGTAGGCCAACGCTGCTGCTCTTTCAATTGAGATGTTCTATCATATCAAAGTTCCCTTGACTCCGTCAACCTTTCTTTCTGCGTAGCCTATCTTTTCCGTTGTAGTCTGAGTACTCGGTGCCATGTAGGTTCTAAAGGCTAGATGACAAAACAATGGTGCTGAAATCCAATCAAATTGATGTTTCGTAACAATGAGTTAGCAGTAGGTCTAGACACAGTTTTAGTCAAATCCCAAATTGCACAGCAACAGGTGGTAGATAAATGCCGTTAGCATGCCGCTTTTCTCAGAGGTGCAATCCACATGTGTGTAAAAGGGCATGAGGAGAACGTACGTTTGTCTTCAGCCACACCAAACGGTCCCCAGAAATGCGAATCTCCCGACTGTCTCTAAAAGAACTGCAAGCAAAAAATGAACAGACAGATTTCCAAGTAGAAAAAGCATACTTGGAAAGATATCACCTCGAAAAGACCAAGGTTCATATTCGCTTTTTAACGGCACCATTTTTTTCGGGGTGGGGGGGGGGGGGGGGGGGGGTGTACTGGCATCTCCAAAAGTAAGGATGATTCTGGACCGCCCATTAGGGGCTTCGTGCCGAGGGTATCTACACGATTGTCCACAAAGGGCAATACCCCCCCCCCCCTCCCCATCTTTCAGTTTTAAAATTGCGAATCACTATATAATATAGGCGTGGAAAGGAATCATTTCAACTTTTCTTGCTAACAGAAATTACCAATAAATCCATGTAAACGCATGGGAGATCCTGCTACCACTTACATCGGATTAACTAATCTTGTAAGTAATTGTGCACTAAGCTCCCAATGTAATGTTACGCACACAATTATAATATAAATGCCTTGAGCACACTCCCCAACTCTTACGGCAGCTATCAGAGCCTGGCACTTCTGAAAAAATATATCAAAGCCGCCCACCTTTTAGTGATATCGATATATTTTATCACCAATTTATCAATACCAATACTGTCCACGGATTTCAGTCCCCGTGAGGTTTATTGGACCTAGAACCATTTTTGTCGACCCTGAAGGGGAATTTGTCTGTGAAAATTCCCCAGCTACCCTTTGAGTAGTACAACGCTGTAACCTTGTGTCAGCCACGGTGAAGAGAGGAATAATATGCTATTTTAATAGATGTTCCGTCTGTTGTCGAATCACAACTCCCCACTCGTCAGAGTCAAAGGCACTCTTTGCCACACCCGGTGCACTCCTAGAGCTCAGTGAGAGCAGCAAAAATTCCTTTAATCAGTATCAAAACAAGACGTAAAAATATCGCAGTTTTGCAGTTCTCAAAAACAGTATTAATTTTTATGTGGCACGAATACGCCTCACTCACTTTGCCCAATGACTCATCTGGAAACAGTTTTTAGCCGCTTAATTTTATTAAAAATAGTATGGTATCATTTTTTGCCAAAGGGAATGTAACTGTCGGGTGGTATTGCCATTTAAGTGGTATCGATATCTTTAAAAGGGCGTGTTCTGAAGGCTCAAGGCTTTTTTTCATATTTTTTGGTGTAAAGTGTACGACTTTGATCCCTTTCGTTCTTCCACCCCTGCCCCAATTTCTCTTCTTTTTTTTTTAAAAACTGATTGTTTGTTTCTTTTTCACGTTTCAGAAAGGGTAAAATTGTCTGATACTTCCTTACATGTTTTGGAAACCTTTTAAAATACACAGAACGGAACTGTGAACTTTTCATATAAAGGGATAGGATATCGTGCTGACAACCGTTTTACCTACCACTGTGTTTATTCGGGTTGGAAATTGTAAAAGTTCCGTGTATACGACGTGAAATAAAGCCATACACAGCGCATCCTATTATTCCTGCTGAGTCAAGCGACGTGCTCTGTTTAGGTAAAAGCCATAATATTCTCAAAGTCTTTGCTGTGATATGTCGACTTTCCCCTCTCCTGAAGCTTGCTGGAGATAAAAATGGACACCACAATGGATATACACCGCTCGGAGTACTGGCATCGACGCTGGCGGAGATTCTAGAAAGATCGGAGACCCCACCGGGCCGAACCTTTTAGCGTCCTGCTTCCCGTGGCATCAGCTGTATTGTTTTTCTTTCTCGGTGGCGTTCTTCTCGTTATCCCCCTTGGGGCAGCTGTGGCTTCGAGTGATCGCTGCGTCCTTGGCAGCATGTAAGACGCTCCTGCGGCGCAGAGGAGCAGAAGAATGCCAGAGCGGATACAACTGAACCTCACACTCCAGGGGATAGCTTTTATACTGCTGCACCTCCTGTCGCTCGTCATGGCTGTTGGTGAGTCTCATTGTGTTTGTAAATGGGTCTAGTGTGTGTGCCTCTATGTATTTGTTTGTATGTATATGTGTGTGTATGTGTGTGTGTGTGTTGTATGTGTGTGTGTGCTGTGATTATATATTATATGTGGACCAGTGTGTTTATGTATGTGTGTGTTTGTATATGTGTAGGACTCAATCTGGTTCTTTGATTGCGTCTTCATATTATTATCTCTATGTGTGAAAATGTGTATAAGTGAATATTTGCGCAGGTTTACATACAAGTATTTAATGGTGTATGTAGGGGGGAGGGATATCTGTGTGTTCATGTGAGTGTGTATGTGTGTGTGAGTTTGAGATAGAGAGAGAGAGAGAGAGAGAGAGAGAGAGAGAGAGAGATTTTGCACTGTATGAGGATTGGTTTGCCTTTTAAGCACAACATTAATTTATACGATGGGTGTGAAGAAGTTTTGAGGGGAAAAATCTAAAACAACGTAGGTAGCTAACCTGTTACTAAAACTAAAAGTACTGGACGCTTGTGGCATACTCATACATTTAGAAAAACGCAAAAAGATGCTTGCAGCATTCAGTACATTCTATAAAATGACAATTTTCATTGCAAAACAATATAAATTTTTAGATCTATACTCTGAGTACTTTTTTGTCAGTCCTACATCTTTCATCTTTTTTTGAAGCAGGAACATGCCATATTTAAATGAATGTCAATACTCATATCCCAGCACTACCCTTAGAATAGCTCCCAGTCCCCACACCGCCCCCTTACTTCGTTACTTCCAAGAAAACTCTGTTCTTCTGTTAAATCTTCCTCGATCAAAACTACTAAAGGTCAAAACCTCTTTTCGTCTTAAAGCAAAGAAACCTCCCAGACATCTATTCTCCGATCAAACTTTTCAATAGAGGAAAAATTTAGAAGCATCTTTGCCGGGGAGCCTTAGGGGGTCAGTGACATAAAGACCTCGTGATATTTTAAATTCATTTGGAGGTCAATATGTTAGGACTCACCTCTCGCACGGAAAGACGGGCTCGTGATAAACTTTTCATGACGGCGCACCCGACAGGAAACAGCTGCTTTTAGAAATCAGGGTTATGCTCACCACAGTGACCCCTTGCCCTACCCACGTTTTAAATTCTTAACCACTTGAAGTCACGTATTTCTCTTAATTGAAAGAGCGATGGAAATCATCAGCACATGAAAATGTAAAACAAGATCTAAGGAGCAGATATTATTGAAATACTCTAGAACCAAAAATAACCGCCAAAGAAAAAATACGAAAAACGAAAACTGCGATGCACTTTATGGTTGAGAATAGTTGTAAAAACTATAACATTATTATACTATTATGAGGACGAAATACTCTTTGACCTTGATGTCTGCTGATTTTTTTCTGCGGGGCATAATCAAATACTATATTTTGTTTCTTCCTTGGTACCCGAGTCTAAATTCCTCTTTTTAATTTCACATTTCTCAAACTGCTTGTGCGGCAAATAAAAATAGAAAGAAGATGACTGGAAGACAATGAGCGTAGACAAAAGTTGGAATGGCGTAAAGAGAAATGAATGGCACTACAAACAGAGAAAAAGAATAATCTATTAGTGTCAACACAAAAAGTCAAGGAAGCAAAAACGTGGGTCATCGTTATTTATGAATTCTCCGACCCGCCCCTGTCCCTCCTTCGACCTCCATCTTCACACCCAGGACTCCCATACGTGGCTGGTTAACTCTGATGTACTGGCAAGGCTGTATTAGTATTGACCCACACTGAGAGCAGACGGCAGGAGCCATTAGAGTCTAAATTTACCAACTGTCTCGATTCTCGGGAATGGGAATATCGACACAAGCAAGCGGCCGCTGACCAGAGATGGCTGTACTTTTACTCTAGTGTGGAATGAAAGAGTGATGAAAGATCAAGCTGGGGAGAAACCGAGGAAAGTAATGGTGTGGAGAGAGGGAGAAGGACAGAAAGGGGGAGAGAGAAAGAGAGAAGAGCGAGCGAGCGAGAGAGAGAGAGAGAGAGAGAGAGAGAGA